TGTYCAGAACAGAATCCCAGTTAAAATGGCTCAAAAAAACAAGGCTCAAAATGGAATTAAGAGAGAAACCAGCTCATTTCTAATCATTTTGGAAGCAAATTACACAAAGGGAAATCAGTATTTTCCTGCTGAACTAAAAGTCCTGAGAAACACAGGGAGTCACTTACAAGCATTCTTGCTGGCGTTGTCCATGGCAGTCATCCTGGCGCTCTGCTCACTGGTGGTGGATTCTTTCAGGGAGTAGTACAGAATGTTTGCTAGTGTGAATTCCTGGTAGTTTCTCAGCACATCAGCATCGATATCATCATAGATACTTAGGCTTTCTGCAAAATGTGAAAGAGCAGGCTTAGACACACCCAAGATTTACTACTTCCAGCAAAATACAATGACATGGAGAAGACTACTTGGCTGGACTGTTTCAATACTTGAGGGAGCACACAGGGATTTTCTCCACATATTATGCATACTTTTACAGTTTCTCTGCTAGTTATAGTTTATGTAAGTATTTTATGTGTTCTAATTCAATTTAACATTAGGAAAGTCAGGTTCTGATCAAAACAAAATATATTATTACCATATTATGTTTAACCTTCTCATATAATATTGCAGAACCATTCTGGGGTATTTTTAATGGGTTGTGAAAAGTCACTCACTACTCAGATTGTTCGTGCTGAAAATATTGGAACTGACAGAGTTTACATATACTCAATTTTTGCTTGCAACAGAATTTCAAACCTGCATTAGTACAACCTTTCCTTTTATCCTCTCTGCCCCACAGCACCTTAATAAATCAGCCTTGGCCTGATCCTGGCCAAGACAAAACCATCTGTTAAACTTATAATACAAGCACCATAATAAAATGTTTTAATACCATGTTCCAAATACTATTCCTGTGATTTTTCACTGCATGTAACTGGTGGTTTCCAGCTCCCTACTTACCAGAGCCAGCCACAGTTTCAAAGGAAAAGATTGGTTTTTCATCSGTCTTGTAGGAGATGACAGACCTGTACAAAAAGAGCGAAACAGGCTCTTCACTTCAATTAACTCTAAATTGAATGCTTAAAAYCAAATTGGAATAGACAATTTCTGGCCTTCTAATGCCACAAATTTCTCTGACAATCCTGATGAAAAATGACCTTGGATACCATGTGGATATAATGAGGTACTGACTGTAAATATAACCGCATTCACTATACACAAGTTGAAAGGGAATTCYAGTAACAGCTACTAGAAAAAACAGCCCAAAATTTCTTCACACACAATAAAAATCAAGAATTAAAGGGACCATTCCAAGTTACAGTCAGTTTTCATATCACTTCATCAGGCTAATATGCTCTTTTGAAGCATTCTGTYAAGTATTTTTCCAGTGAAGTTTCCGTTTAACCTTACCTGAACCGATTGTAGATGACAGAGCCTTGATCAAATTCAAACCCAGAGTTTAACAGCTCTAAAGCAATGACTGAAGCATCGCCAAAGCTCGGAGGTCTCCGTCCCACCTCTTTGAATGTCAGCAGGAAATAGTTGCCATGTGTCCTGCAACAACAACAAACCTGTGTTAGAACCAAGTGGGTGCTCTGAAGTACAATGAGGCAGCAAGAATCACTAGGAGTACCATAACTTAGGAGTGTTCAGAACTAAATATTTTATTGAATTATGGTCTAAGAGAAATTTTGCCTTTCTTCAGTTAAATTACGATAGYTTCACAATACACACACTTGTAACAGCTCCAGTTGACAGCTTTCAAACTTTTATTTCAAGAATATAACACTGCTGTGCAGCAGTTTCCCAAACTGTGTGTGATTAAAACCACTTTAAGGATATTTGCACTTTTTTTTTTTACAGGAACTTGAATTTAGCCCAGTTCCTTTAAATGCAATTTCCTGCCAATGCCACACAATCTTCTAAGTAGTTTTGAAATTTCTACCACAGAAAACAAACAAAACTCCAAACTAAACTCTTTTGGGGTGTGAGTTTTGGGCCCCATSCCTCTTACCTTTGAAGCAGGCCTCTGATCTTGTCACCTACTCCAACCACCATAACCTCTTTCCCTGCATTTGAGAGGTTGGTAATCTCATTCTTCATGGTTTTAGCAATGGATGTATGGATAGCACCACACAGGCCTCGGTCAGAGGACACACCAATAAGGAGGTGCTTCTTCTTGTCCTCAGGTGGCTTTATTTCTGCTTTCTCATAGAGAGCTGACAAAAAAAATGGTTAAATTTTACAAGGGTGCCAAGAAGCAAATGTCACAAAAACCACCCCAGAATTTTTTCATCTGAAATCAGTTCTAAAGAAGCTCCAGATCTCAGCCAAATTAATTTTATCTCCTCACAATTGTTCCAAGTTTGCACACAATCAGACCAGATGTGAGTAAGAAACAATTCAGAGCCAGCCACAGCTCTGATCAGATGTCACTCARTGAAGTTCACTATGCAAATTCTTTTGGAAATAGACTACTGGAAAGTTAAAAAGCCTCAGCATTTAATGACTGCCACAAAAAACTCCTCTTCTGCTCCCACACTGCAAAGTGCAAGAACTTTTTCTCACACAGAGCTCCTGTTCCATAGACCCTTGCAGGCTTCAGCTCCCTCTCAGCTCTTGCGTATTTGGCTGCAGAAACCATCTTCATGGACTTGGTGATCTTCTGAATGTTCTTGATGGACTTCAAACGCCTGGTGACTGCAAGGTTAAGAGTTGAAGGTCATAGACTGTACTTGGCATAATGACTCAAACCTAAACAACAAAATACTAGCAAGAGCCATCAAAAATATTTTGCCATGTTCCTCATAGAGGWAGAAATAAATAAACAAACAACACACAAGGAAACCTCATAAAAGACCTCAGTATTTATTGTAAGAGTAAGAATGTGACTAATGCAAATTCATCTTTACAACAGATATATTCTGCCTTCAGACTTGTCATTCATTTAATATTTATCCCAACATGAARTCTATTTACTATTCTCTTTGCTTCCACATCTACCTGTTGCACAAATATATCATTTGAGGTATAATGTAATCTTTCACAGATGACAAGAAGAAAGAAACAAACAAAAAAGTCCCCATAGTATGAAGACACAGAATAAATTTCCTCCTCTGTTTGGACTATGGTAAAATGAGGTTTATAAAAACACTAATGGAAAAAGAAACCAAAACAGGTATCCCATAAACAAGCACAGTTCCAAGCCAATATCCCTAYAAAAGAACTGAGGAATGGCTTAAGGAAACATTATCAAACCAAAACCATTTAGTCAACCCTTTTCCTCCCCAAATGCTGCAYGAAAGCACAAGGAAATAAACAAAAACTAAGTTAATTCTTAGAGGTGAGCAAAAATCTGGTTTAGCACATATAATAAAATTACTTTTAAAATATATTTGAGTAAAACTRTAAGATGACATCTAAATTAGTGACAAAACCACTTCAAGCAATTCTTTTTCTAAAGGACACTTGTTTAATGTAATTAGAACTGGAGGCCATGTACAATTATTATTTATCATTTTACCTAACATAAGCCATATTTCAATATATGGCTTTCATGCAGCATTTTTCCTCTCTCAAAAGCAAACAAAACCTTTACTTACTGTCTTTTAGYGTTGCCATATTCCTGACTTGGCCCCTGAAAAGGAATGCAGAAGAAATTAGGATAATTCACTAGCTCTCCAGCAAACTAACATTTACCAAGAGCAAGTCCCTTCCAGACAGATGAAAATTCAAGATTTGCTATTCTTTAAAAAGCATCTGTGGTGGAGACAAGCCACTCTGATCTGAGACTTGTATGCACACCTTCATCCTTTCCTCATCTATATAATTTCACAGAACCAATAAGTTGGAAAAGACCTCTGAGATCATCAAGTCCAAMCTATGACCGAACACAACCTTATCAATTAAACCACAGCACTGAGTGCCACATCCAGTCTTTCTTTAGACACCTCCATGGACAGTGACTCCACCACCTCCCTGGGCAACCCATTCCAATGTCTAATCATGCTTTCTGTGAAAAAATTGCTGCTCGTGTRCAACCTAAACCTATGTCCTCTTGTCCTGTCGATGGCTGCCTGGCAGAAGAGGCCAACTCCCACCTGACTGCACGCTCCTGTCATGGAGTTGAAGAGTKTTAAGGTCACCCCCGAGCCTTTTCTCCAGGCTGAGCTCCCCCAGCCGCTCTTCAGAGGATTTGGGCTCCAGACCCTTCCCCAGYTCCATCGCCCTTCTCCAGACTCGCTCTAGCACCTCAATGTCCTTCCTGAATTGAGGGGCCCCGAACTGGACAGAGGATTGGAAGCGATGCTTCAGCAGTGCTGATTATAGGGGGCCATTTAATGCATTATTAATATTATTAAATACACATGCCTAGTGTAACGGCACGGRGCAAACGAGGGCATCAGAAGGGCAAATTACAAATGAAAACATAATAATTTAAAAAAGCCTCAGATAACACAAATAATTTCTAAATACTATTAAAACGAAGCAGAAGAGGCCGCACTATTCCCTGTCCAAAGCAGGGTCTCCTGCCATGTACAAACCTGTCCTTTAACCCTTGTCTGTACCACACACCCACCACGGCTGAGCACTCTCACCCAGGGAGGACGGACCCTCCATCCCTGCAGGTCCCCACTGCCCTCATGTCCCCTGCCCGCTCCAGCCACCCCTCAGAGCCCACAGCCCCTCACGGGCCGCCCGGGGCCGCGACCCCGCCGCCCCCAAGCACCGCATGGCTGAGGGAAACCATCCCCCCCTCACCCCGCAGAGCCGCCCCGACCACCGCAACACATCCCCCATCCCCACAGCGCCCGTCCCAGCCCGTCYCGCTACCATTGCGGCTGAACCAGCGCGACCGCGGCGCCCCGGGCKAACATGGCGGCGCCTCCACCACAGCCCCGCTGAAGGTCAGCGCGCCCGCACCGCGCCTGCGCCGCCCCGCCGGGATCCGCTTCCAGGGCGCCGCCGCCATTTCCGGAGAGGGCGGGACCGGGACCGGGACCGGGAACAGTGTCGGGATCGGGGTTGTACCGGCGTCATGGGGAAGTCGGATTTCCTCAGCCCCAAGGCGATCGCCAACCGCATCAAGTCCAAGGGGTTGCAGAAGCTGCGCTGGTACTGTCAGATGTGCCAGAAGCAGTGCCGCGATGAGGTAACTGGGGGTGCGCTGGGAGGGTTCGCGTTGTTTCGGGCTGCTGCCGTCTCTGTGTTCGGACCCGTGTCCCGCTGAGGGGGGCAGTTCTCCTGCGGCCAGGTCCCCTTGGTTGGAGTCATCTTTTGTGACAGTTCCRAAATCATAGAATCACGGGGTGGTTTGGGTTGGGAGGACCTTTAAAGATCGTACACTTCCCCATCCCAGCCTTTCACTAGACCAGGCTGCTCCAAGCCCCGTCCAGCGCGGCCTTGAACACTTGCAGGGATGGGGCAGCCACAAATTTTCTGGGCAATTTGTGCCAGGGCCTCTCCACCCTCACAGGGTGTTCTTCCCAACATATAATCTAACCCTGCCCTCTGTCAGTTTAAAGCCATTGTCCCTTGTCCTATCAATTTCCCTTGTAAGTTTCCCTAGTACTATTGAGGGGGACACTGTGGGAGCTACAATCGCCCTTGTAGGAGTTTCTCATCTTCTTGTGGGYGCTGCAATTCCCTCAGGGAATATGRGGTCTCATATCCTTCACACGGATTCCCCAATCCCCTTGTGAGGCGTACAGGGCTGGCTCAGGTTCCCTTTGGGAGCTTTGTGGGGGCTCTGATCCCATCTGTGGGGTGTGATCCTTCTAAAGAGCATCCTTGCCTCCCTTTCCAGGAGCGTGGGGAGCCCTGATGCTCTTTAGGAAAGCCCTGATGCTCTTTAGGAGATCCCTGATGCTCTTTAGGAGAACCCTGATGTTTTTGGGGGGCTATTTCCAGTAGCTCTTGTATGGACCACGTCCCCTTGGATTTGTGGGCATGGAGGGTTCCCTGTTGCTGTGAGTGGAGTGATCCTATTGGGATTTCCAATCCCCCATGGGAGAAATCCTCATCCACTTTGGAGGAAGTGTGTTGGTCCTGATCTGTCTTTGAGGATATTATTTTAGTTTTTGATTTTCCATGAATAATCTCTTAATTGTGCTTTAGGGAAGGAGTCCATCCCATGTATGTTTAATTCTATCACTCTTCACTTGTTTCCTTGACTCTCTCCCTTTTACCCAAGAATCCTAAATCCTGTTCTCTTCCCAGTGACTACAAGTAAAAAAGCTTCACTGACTTACACCTGCATCTTTTTGTAAGCAGGGGAGAGGTCTCCCAGGGAGTGAAATTTACTGTAGATGTAATCGTATTGTGCTGAAAGACCATTATATTAAGAAAAGAAATAAGGGATTCAGCCAAATGTGCCATTCCACAGGGAATGAAGAGTGCTGTTGCAATTTCCCACCTCATAACCCTTCTCACACTTGTCTGGAAGTTCTGGGCCTTTGAGGACTTTTGATTTTGGCTTGCCTGATCAGGAGAAGCAACCACCCCATTCTAGGCTGAGGCTSAGTTAAGGTGTTTTCTGTGRRGCCTCCTAGAAATTTCACTCAAAASCCACTATTTTTAATACTCTCTTCAGCTGTGAGTGTTGCAAATTGAGACAAAGACAAGCAAAGTATTTATTTTTGCTTTATAGAATGGCTTCAAGTGTCATTGCATGTCTGAGTCGCACCAGAGRCAGTTACTGCTGGCTTCTGAAAATCCTCAGCAATTCATGGATTACTTCTCTGAGTAAGTTTTCTGTGGTTTTCTTACCCAGATTTTCATTCTTCTATCAGCTCTGCACAGCCACACCCCTAAGGCCCAATAATGTCCCATTGAAGACACTTTATTGTGATATGTTTTAGTATCAGCTCTGTTTGTAGTGGTGATTTGAAAATTTAGGCAATGCCACTTTTTAAACTGTAGGTTTAAAAGAGATTTCGGGGAGCCATGATTTTTGTTAAATTTGAWAGTTTTGTCTCATGTCTGAATGGTGTTTAAAGTTGCTCTGTGTTACAAATACATCAGCTTTCTGTCCCCACTGAGTGACTGCCACACAAACATGAGCTAAAAGATCCCTAACAGAGAGAGAATGAGTCAGGGAAGGGACTGACATCCCCCAGCTTCTYCCAGGCCTTTGTCCAGCTGACCTACATGACAGCTGGGATGACTGGAACTGTCTTCAGCACGAGTCTGAAGTGTGGCTTTATGYTCCAGCCCTGGAATTAGCAGAGAGATGAGTGATCCATCTGCCCCATCCACCCCCTCTGCCTTTTGTCCTGCCCTGTGCTCTGTGTCAGTCAGCCTGGGAAGACACCTGGTAACAAAACACCAGCAATTAGTGCAAGTGTTGAGATTCCTTCATTTTATCCCCTTGGAATAATCTCCTCTTGGAGATTTAAGGTGTGTGCTTGCACCATATTATATTTCATTCTGTAGTTAATGCTGCTCTRCTGAAAAAGGGAAATGTGTCTGAATGTCATCATACTCAGCTCAAAAGAACAATCAGGTTTATAGCAGATATTTAATTGTTAATGATGACAGAAAATTGCTTCCTAATGGTTAAGGTTTCACTAAAATACTTTTTTTTTTATTTCCTAAGGGAGTTCCGAAATGATTTCCTAGAACTGCTCAGGAGGCGATTTGGTAAATATTTTGCTGTATCTTTCTTTGTTTTTAATGTCTTTTATTATTCAGTGCAAGACATTTTAGTTGGTTTGTCCTAGGTCCAACGCTAATATTAATAATTCCATATTTTAGGAACAAAGAGAGTCCACAATAATATTGTTTACAATGAATACATCAGCCATCGAGAACACATCCACATGAATGCCACGCAGTGGGAGACATTGACTGATTTTACAAAATGGCTGGGGAGAGAAGGTGAGTGTGGCTGYTCAGGTTTGGGAAGTCTTAAAATTATTGGATARTGGAGTTCCTGATAATTGWTCAGTAAATATTTATRTTAGTTCTTTTTACTTYTTCTTTCTTCCCCTCYCCTCCTGTATATAMATTAGAAGAAATCCARACATATTTCTGTGTTGACCATTAGGAATTTGCCTATGAAAAATGTCAGAAGTCTGGCTCACATCAGTTGTGAGCCTTTTTTTGTTTCCTTTGCTGGTGTGTAGTTACTATATGCATTGCTAAATTCTAAATTATCTTCCAACAGTTGCCATTTAAAAGTTAAAAACTAGGACATCCCTTAAGACTACAGAATCTTGCCACATTTGAGGTGACAAGATGCAAGCAGTCATTTTTACTCCTGGCCTAGTGGAATGGTAAAGCTGGAGATCTGCATTTCTGTGTTTGGTGGGAGGAAGAGAGATTAAATGGCACTGTGGAGTGACAGAAAGTTTACTTTGGCTCTGGGTGCCCCTGTTCTGCAGGATACATCCARCAGTTACAGAGTGTTTGGAAAATCACTCTAGCCAGAGTCAATAACAATAGCCCAGCACTGAAGTATTTCCTGTAGTATGATGCTGTGAGGGTGTATMATTTATATAAGTTAGATTTCTGTCTTCTTCTTTGTTAAAACAGTGGGAAGGAAACATTTTCTTCATTAAGGGAAGTGTTGTGAAACACTTCAGCCACTACATGATGTACTCTGGCCTATKTCCAAAGAGATCTGGCTAGCTGAGGGCAGAAACACATGGTACAGATAATTCAAAGTCAATTTTAGCAGCCCAGTAAGGGGTATTTTGTCTCTGGTAAAATATCTGCATTGTTRCAGTGAACATGGATTGAAATTAATCTTGATATTGTTAGAATTAATCTTCCTTTGTCTTGCCTTGTCTTTTTAGGTCTTTGCAAGGTTGATGAGACWCCAAAGGGCTGGTACATTCAGTACATCGACAGGGACCCAGAGACCATTCGCAGGCAGCAGGAACAAGAGAGGAAGAAGAAACAGGACCTCGATGATGAAGAAAAGACTGCTAAATTCATTGAACAACAAGTTAGAAGAGGTTTGGAGGGGAAGGAGCTGGTGAGGAAAATTGCACTGTGTGTGAACCTTCAGCTCAAAGCTCCTTGTGGTTAAGTCAATGGGGATTTTGATGCTGCTGGAATCTTTGCACTAGTATTTCCTTTGCTTCCTAACTTGGAGTTACATTGTACCCAGCTTGGATTARTACTAAGGAAGTAATAATTACTGCTCATCAAGTGATTAGTGGTTTAAAAATCACTCTTGAATTTAGGAAGGGAAAGCAAACAATCCAGTACCAGCATGACCTGTCTTCATTTATGGTATTTCACAACTTCTAGAGCTGCAGTTAACAAGTACTTTGYACACTGGGGAGGCTGAGATAAATAACCAGGGGGATCTGGCGTAATCAAATCCACGTGAAAAGTTCTGTTTTGATGGTGCTGGTGTGGTTATTTGGGATCTGTTTACTTGACATCATTCCATGACCCCCATGCATGTTGTTCCCTGGGGCTGGAACCTCCCATTTGATCCTGGGTATTGATAGGTACGTTTAAATGCTGTTGTAAACAATTACCCGTTTCTTAATTTAAAACTAATTGAAATTTAAATGGTCTAAGCCTTCTGTGATAAAAGATTGGAAAGATACCAAAATTTCTTTGAGTTTTCAGTTTGTCCAGAAACCAGTCAGATCATGCTGGTTCAGRGAGAAAGCTACTGCAGCAAGGCCTCTTTCCTTTTATGCTGGAATTGAACAAGTTTAGGCAGCATCTCTGTATAGAGTGTTAATTGGAGAATTTTGTCTGTAATGAGATGATGTTTTCAATTTTAATCTTTCACAAATCAAGCCAGGTTGAATATTACAGTTAAAGGTGATAATCTCACAATAGTCTATAAAACTGAGCTAATCAATGATCACCAAAAAATTTTATCCTGACTCAGTTTTTTGTTTGATTCTTTAAACGTGCCTTGTTTTTTTTTGGCAGGAAATGCCAGTCTATACTGAACTGAACAGAGAAAATGAGGAAGAAAAAGGTAACCAAATTTTGATGGGTGTAATTTTCTAGAACCTACTAAAGCTGATTTTGTGTTTCAAATGAAATGAGCATTGAAGCCTACTTGGTGTTTCATAAAGTGCTTTAGAGCAGTTATAAAGAGCACTGATGTATGGAAATGTGGAGTATTGTGTATTACAAAGATTAATTTATTTWAAAAGCCAAATTAAAATATAAATTAGTAAATATTTTCAAATTTATGATTTTTTTCTATTTGTAGAGTTTAAAAAATTTTAACATCCTTCAATGCAGTTATTTTTAAAGATAGAAATAGAGTAATGTCTTTTTATTTTTTAGTTACATTTAATTTAAACAAAGGAGCAAGTACTTCAGTCGCAGCATCTTCTAAAACAAGGTGAGAAAAGAATTYAAGGCCAACCCTTACTGTTACAAAGCACTTCCATGGCAATGATATTTTTATGAGCAGGGAAGAGTGTGTCTTGTTCTGAAATGTTTGGAATCTAATCTCTCACCCTCTCTTGTTACTCAGAAGGGGCTTTTAGGTGTCTTTATGGTTCCTTTTGTATTTAAAATGTATAAGTGGGTGTATCTTAAATGTGTGCTATGAGGAGCCTTCTTGAATTCACTAGTTTTGTGGCAGATGTCCACAAAGTTACAGGTTCCCCCATGGAGGGTGGAAAAGGGATCCAGCCAAAGYATTTGAAGTAATGCCATCTAGTCCCAGCTACATTCTATGGATGGATATTCATGACTTGTTAATTTTGGYTCCTAAAAGGTTTGATTGCCTTGTCTAATTGGAGACAATACTTTCTCTGGTCATCGTTTAAGCAGCTCAATCTACCTGAAATAAATCTTTCAAGAGCTCTGGAATTTAATTGTCATCATGTAACCACAAGCAATGCAGGACAAAAGGAATCAATAATGCAGATAATACTGACTTATAGCAGTCTGTGGAGCTGTTTCATGAGCAGTGCATCCTCTCATGTGAGGCAATATTGTAATTAAATGTATTGCAGGTAAAAAGAAAGCTTTCTCYTCATCACACTCAGCTCTTAGATAAGGTATCTGATGGGATATATGCCAGGCAGAAAATAAGACAGTAAAGCAGTTCTTTGCAATMATAGGTACAGATTTCATGCTTTGAGAAAAACTTGTAAATTATCCCTAAACATCGAGCTGTGCTTAAGATGCATCTGAAACTTAATTCAGACTCTCACTTGAATTGTTCCAGTGAGGAATACTTTGGGTCATGGCTAAATTGGGCCAAATGTTAAATCATATATCAAGTAGTCTAATTTCTTCACAGCAAATGAAAAATACTTACCTATAAAGTTTGAAATTGTAGTGTAGAAGCAAAATTAGGGTATGCACTTCATGGAAAAATTACTGGCTTGTGGTTTATCTGTCACTGGTGATARAGGCATCACTTCAGAGTCACATATGGAAGCTGCTTCCCTATGTCTGTAGCCAGGTGTGCTCTGCAGCTGTTGGCTGTTCCAAGGAGCAGTGAAATTCAACCTGATTTCCAGTTCCCCAGTGCAGTGTGCAGGACTTCCATGTTTCCCACCTTCTGTGCTCACAGCACAAGCTCCAGGAACCTGGCACTTGTATTTCCCGAGTGTGGAGCAGAAATGGGACCAGGAGGTCATAGGTAGTGGGTGGTRGAGTTCTGAAGGCATTGGGCTGCTGGTAGTTCATACAGAGCTGGAGTTGATTTGTGCATCCTGCAAATGAAATGTCACCATGGCTTATACCAGGCACTGATGTTTGTCTTTCCTGAGGCTTCCCAGGATTGCTCTGGCTCTTTCATGGCTGCTCCACACCAGTAGCTGTCACCTGTGGTTGTAGCCAGACCTGCTTCTGCTTTTGTTGTTCTTAAACAGCTCTCAAGAGATAGAAAATAATCAGAATAAACTTTTCCAAAGTACATGAGCTTACCCAACGTGCTGCTGAATTTTGTGCATTTTCAAAGATAGTTTTCAAGCTAAACCAATCCCTTCTGGTATCTTTCTTGAGTCYTCCATTTGTTGACACACCTGGACAGTGTTGGTGGTCTCTGACTCTTTATTCCAAAGTCCTTAATAAATATGTTAAATAAGATTTGTTTTAGTATTTACATTCAGGAATCCACAGCTAGATATGTTTGTCTTCTTAAATATAGGCACTGCAGTTGTTATGTTCAAATTCTTTGTTACTCTTTATGAGATGTTTTTCTAAGTATTTGCTGTTTGATTGTTCTGTGATTTAATGTGCTAATTCTTCTCAAGCTCTGCTATGATTATTCGGACTTCATCTGAAATACAGTTTTTCTCTCACAGTTGCTTCTATTCCTGTATCTTCATTCCCACAGGGGAATGTGGGGAATATATAGGATATATTCCCTGTGGGGGTATATCCAACATCTTCACCACAGGCAGAACACGCAATTTGTCCTAAGGCCATATTAATAATTTCATCACTTTTCACCCCAGAGCAGCTGCCTTCATCTTTTGGGTTGAAACAATACCTATTTTTTTTTTAATGTCTTCAAATGTCTTCTATAAAAATGGCAGAACTGGAGCTTGCCTGTGGGCAGTTCTCATTTCACCTATATGTTCCCTTATTCCTGAGATGTAACTTTTTATGCTGATTGTTCTTTTCATTCCCARTTCATAGGCTGATTGCCTGTTATGAATGTGATCATGAAGGTGGCATTTGTTTGCTGGGTGTGGAGCTCTTTTCTGCAGATTCCCATGTGTTTTCTTCTTCCCGTGTGTATTCTTTGCCAGATAGGCTCAGTATCTCTGTCTGGAAGAAATTCTATATATCTGCCATGTCTGAGAGTTGCTCTGTCCAGGTGGCTTCTCTGAAGTTGTCCTTTCAAATTTGAAAACCTTATTTGCAGATCAACTTTTGTCTTCTTCATTGAACTCAAGTCATTGATCGACTCTTTGCTTATGCTGTGGTGAACTGATCATTAGGTTGGGTCCATTCTGCTGAATTGCCAGCAATGACCCCCAGTGGACATGGAGTTTGCACCCAAAGGAGATCAGTTCTGGAGGAGGAGGAGTGCAGGGTCTGGAAGGAGACTGGCACAACTGAAATTAAGTAGAGCAGCAGGCCTTTTTGCACAGCCAGTTCTTCAAATGCATCTTGGTAGAGGAATAAAATGTGGGATCTGCTGTGAAAACACCATCTTACTCTTCCAGCAGTGTCCTCGGACAGAATGCACTGAAGATGGTGGAGGGGGCAGTTAAAAGAAAAGAATCAGCTCATAGCTCCAGTCAGCCYAAAGAGAAAAAGAAGAAATCTGCACTGGATGAGATCATGGAGGTAATAATCATACAGGATTGTGTCTGTCTGCCCCTGTGCCTGTGACAATGTCTGCTTCCAGGGCGTTCCTTTGAAGTGACCTCAGACCTTCAGTTCACATGGAATTCTAACTTTCACATCTTACCAGGAAAAATAATTTCATTTCCTCATAAAACTGGTTTCTGCTGCTCAAGTCTGCCTGTTCCCCAGATGACTGAGGTGTTGGAAGTAAAAGAATACAGATTTGGCAAGAGAAGAAAATACCTCAAAATGCTTGCCAAAAAAACCCACAAATCACCATCATTTTATCATGAGTTCCTGGATTCATCAAATCAGTTTTTTATGAGGAAAACACATACTGACTTACCCTTGTTTAGGGTTTGGGGATTGTTTTTGTTCCCCACATAGCATGGGCTGGAGAATTGATTCAGCATTTCAAAGTCATGAGAATGCTGCAGTGGAAGGAGGAGGTAAATGGTGATTATTTGTTGTTCTATAGCTTGAAGAAGAGAAGAAAAGAACATCTCGAAGAGACTACTGGTTACAGCCTGTAAGTGTTTTAATAATTACTATTATTATTATTATTGTTACTGTTATACTAAATACAGCCAATTCTGCTTTTCTTAAGCCACCATTGATTTGTGAAAGATCCAAACAAAAGCAGATTCYAAACTAAATTAATTCTTCCTTTTCCTGCTCTTGACCCATTGTGGACTGTCACATTAGATCTTGAATTCAAGGGTAACTATTTGTAAAGGAAACCCCAAAAAGTCTTGAGAGATGCTACTTTCAGCCAATAATTTGACAATAAACACAAATTCCTGAAAGTCACATTTTTACTGTTGTTGCTTCCTACACTGTGCTGTACTGTTAGTTTAGATTGTGGAGTTGTTTGCACATTTTGGCACTTCTAAATTTTTTTCTCTCCTTTCAAATCTCCCAGGAAATCATTGTAAAAATTGTAACAAAAAAGCTTGGAGAAAAGTACCACAAGAAGAAGGCAGTTGTTAAGGTAAGGTGGGCCATCGGGAACATGTGGCATTTTTGGCTTTTCTGGTGTCAGGTGACTCCTGAAGATTTGTTTCATTTTGCAGGTTCAGCCTTAATACTGTTGGGGGCAGAAACGCCACTTTACCTGTATTAGGACTTACTCTGGTCAGGGAGTGAACCTTTGAATTGGTTTAAKGWCATTTATTCAATGATCCTTTCTTAAGCATGGTTTTGGCCATATAKTTTGTCCCTATTAACACATCCATCTTGGAG